AATAATTAGTCGCCTAGGGCCTCTAAATTCTCAGGGCCGGCCCTGGTGGTGCTGGTGGTAATGTCTTTGACAGTCGTGGTGGCTATAGGCTTTTTTTTTTTTTTTCCCTATTTTGAAATTTTTGAGTGAATTGTAATAATAGGAGGATAAATGTTTGCGAAGGGGGGATGGTGGTGGTGGGAAAAAGGTGACGAGGGGGTGAGGACGGTCTATATTTTGGTGGCGCTGGTGGTAATGTCTTTGCAAGTCGTGGTGGTGATCTGTGCATTGGTTTCGAGCTTCGCCTTCACTTGCGTTAATTGCTACAGTTTTCGAGAGCATTTGCAGAGATACGGTTTCAAAAGTTCGTTGACGGATATTCCACTCGTCTCTAACAGAATCTGGTTCTATCCTCATCCAGCTAGAGTGCTTAGCTGTCAAAGATCACTTGTGATTCATCTGTTGTAGGCTTGATATTTTAGATGGATAACTAATTTTCCCGCCTTTTCCATATTTTCAGCTTGTATTTATATTTGGGAACTTTTCATTCTTCAGTTGAGTTGAATAAGATTTTCTCTCAATACATTTCTTCTTGTAATATGGTATCATTGCTTCTTCATTGCCATAACTCTGTTCTTCAAGTTCGTATTTCTTCTGTATCTCCATGGCAGAATTTTATTTTCATAATCAGACCTCTCAATCATCTTCAATAAACCATTCCGGTATTGATGATGATCAAGCCCTTTTTTTTTTGCACCACTCAGATAGTCCAAGATTAATCCTGGTATCCCAGCCATTGGTGGGAGACAATTACACTTCATGGAATCGAGCTATGATAATAGCTTTGTCTGTGAAAAACAAATTAGGATTTGTGGATGGATCCATAGCCAAACCAGAAGAAAATCCAGATCTGCTGAAAGCTTGGGTCAGAAACAACAACATGGTAATTTCGTGGATTCTCAATCTCCAAGGATATATCAGCAAGCATCATATATTCTAATTCTGCACAAGAGATTTGGGAGGATCTCAAGGTGCGATACCAGCAAAAAAATGGCCCTCGTATATTCCAATTGAGAAGAGAACTCATGAACCACAGTCAAGGACAGTCATCTGTGAGTGTTTATTTCACAAAATTTAATTGAGAAGAGAACTCATGAACCACAGTCAAGGACAGTGATCTGTGAGTGTTTATTTCACAAAATTAAAAACTATCTGGGAGGAATTGAGCAACTATAGACCGGTTTGCTCATGTGGAAAGTGTGAATGTGGAGGTGTGAAGAAAATGACTGATCACCACCATATGGAATATATGGCCTTTTATGTTAGAAATGAAGGGAAATGATACAAGGCGGGAAAATTAGTTATCCATCTAAAATATCAAGCCTACAACAGATGAATCACACGTGATCTTTGACAGCTAAGCACTCCAGCTGGATGAGGATAGAAACAGATTCTGTTAGTCTCCATTATCAGATCTCTCATAATCACCTGTAAGAATGTTATATTTGTTGGTTAGGAAAATTTGTTTTTGAATATCAATATTTTGTTCCATGCTAATTCGACCGGCTGCTTATTTTCAATAAGGTGCCATTCTAATTATAGCGTGAATGGAATGATATTATGGGTGAAAAAAATGTAGAAAGGCATATTTGTTTTGTAAGATTTGATTTATCTTTCCCATTAACATAAGAAAGCTTAAGAAAAATTCTTTGGGAGGTTTTGATCAATGCAAAACGAATAGATTAACTCGAATTGGTCTTCTTATAATCACTTTCCAGACGTTTAATTGATTCGATTTTGTGGATTTGTCAAATGGGAACAGATGTATATGCAATATGCGATGGCCTGATGCTCTCACATGGGCCATATTTAGGAACTGTAATTCTGCTCCATCAATTCCATAATTCTGCTCTCCACAAAGGCCTGTCTTGTCACTGTCAATTTTGAGGATGAAACTTCAGCCTCTTCTCCAAGGCAGATGCTCCATTTGACGAAGTATTGGGGGATGCCTATATTGTTTCTCTCTTCTGTAGTTTTTTCTCTTGGGCACATTGTTGTAGCTTATCGAACAAGCTGCAGAACCAGGAGGAAGCTCTCCTTTCGTGGTGTTGACCCAGGATCCGTAAGCTTGTGATATTCTCCTGCCTCATGTTTGTCGATGCAGAATTTTGTAAGGTTGATGACATGTAGCCAGAAGTGCTTGACGTGATTAAAATAGGGAACTTGTCTACAAGCTTAAAAGCTTTAGAATGGCCTGCATTTGGTGTGTGTGAATAATGATTGTGTAGAGATATTGTATTGGAGACAAGATGACGACGATGAAGTTGAAGCTATAGAGCTTGGAGTGGTGTGAGCACATTTGAAACCACGCGTGTTGTGATGAGCGCTTTAAACTCTCTGCAGCGGCGCCTCACATAGTCAAGTGTATCATAAGTCAAATTCCCGACTTTCATGAACTCTCAGCAGAGAGTGGCTGCATCATACCCTGTCCATGTATCTTGCATGTATGGCAGTGTTTCACCTTGGGTTTCAATAGTTAATATCAAAGTATCACCAAGCCGAGGACTTAGGATGAAGCTTTATCTTTTTGGTTGGGGGAAATTATATCCTCGGACTCAGAGAGGAGTTGATAAGGAGGAATCCTTTCTGAAGATGGGATTGTGATCTTTCTAGCTGGTTTCGACGTTGTCTTGCCGAGCCACTTGGGCCGAGAAGATTTTGATGGTCGTGGAGTCATCCTGTCCTCTGCCTCTGCCTAGCCTTTGATGGCCACCTTACTTGTTCCGGGAACACAAGGAGTCAGCGCAAGGCATAACTTACACCATAGATGAGGTGTTGATGTGGCAATGAGTTAGGGTTGACATTTCTTGGCAGGGTTCTACTCAAGCCACATAGACAAGGACACAACAATACTTTCGCCAAAATTGGTTCTGTCTTCTCAATGGTAGAGTAATATAAATTTAATTTGATTTTCTAATTGAAGCTGGGTTAAAATATCAAAATTAAATATAATTTTCAAATGAGGTGTATTTCGGAGTTTTCACAATTTTTTTTTACTGATACTGACTGTATAGTCATGTTAGCTCAATTTGTCAGCTTTAAGTTGGTGAATGAGCTTGCTTCAATGATTCAATTGCATTGGATAGTTTATAGTTAAGAGTTCATTAATACGATAAGTTTCTTTTGTTAGCCTTGACTGATCTATTTATCTGAACAGGTTCCTTCTTGCAAAATTGCTCTCTGGTTGTCAAAGGTTCCACGGTCGCCCACTCCATCTTCTGGGAAGACTTTCAGAAGTGACTCTGAAATCAGGAGAAAAGCACCAGGATTGGCTCGTTATGAAGGGGAACTTCCAGTTAGATTACTTGCTGATATAGACAGCTTATTCATTACATGGACTAAATTATCCACTGTAAGTTAAGCATGCCTGGACCGCCTCAACTTTCCCTATCATCCACTGCCTTCCTGACCGCCCATTGATAAGTTTTCCATCAAAAACACAATATCATCCTCACTGGAGCATCAATAATGAATTCCATATCAACTTCTCTCTCTATACTCCTCTGGTAGATGGTTCTCCAGTGTCCCTGCTATCTGAAGATTGCCTATGTTGAGGCTTGATGAAACTGGCGAATGAACTGAAAAAGTTGGAGTCTTCAACTTTAAAAACAAATCTGGAAACGAATGAACAGTTTGGAATTGTTTTAGTGCAAGGGTTTGGACGGGAGTTTTCTAGTGGAGAAATGTGTTGGGCTTTATTCGGGCTCAGCAGGTTGGTCGTGTGGTTGCTGCTTTTGAAAGGCCTGGCTGCGGTTTGATATCAAGGCCATGCAGGAAGGATTGGGAGGAAAATCAATTACCTAATCCTTACAAACTTGATAATCAGGTGATTACTTCTTCTTATTCTCAAAAAGGATGGCGTAATTCAGTAGAAAAAGGAAAAAATATTTAATTTTTTACTTCAGTTTGTCCTGATGATTCATTGAAAAAAAAATTCTTTTGATGAGATATGTTGGGTAATATCAGTATAAAGTTTAAAAGCTTGTAGATATTGGTAAAAGCAAATGTAACAATTGATGTACATAGATGATAGCTCAATTGATAATATATTTATAGGCTACAGGAAAAGAATATACAACCTTTGAGCTCGTGGGAGCTCATTTCCTTTTTCAGTGGACTCATAAAGTACTCGAATGCTATGTTGATGTGGTATAATTATGATGCTGATGATTGCAATAAGTATTTCATTTGATTCCAATATAATTTTGGTCATTGAAGTTGTTGCGGACCTCTGGAAATAATATATGATGGCATGTCACTCAGACTGAAGTAAGGGGAATGTATTGCTGAGTATTAGTCAAGAGAACTGTTCCTGCCTTCGCAAGAATACTATTACACATTTTATTTGGAAAGATGAACTTGGTCCAACCTCTACTACTGAGACAGATTCCTGAAGTGGTTAATCGATTGATGCTACTTAGCCAATGATAAGTACGTTTTTACATACTTATTTTAATGTCAAAATATGAGCAATTGTTGATTAATATGTTGGAATATAGCTTAATTCTATGCAATTCATGTTGTGCAGGACAAGTGATGAATGTATCGAAAATAAGGAGAAACAAGTGAAAAATGACCAAAATGGAAGAAAGTGAAGTTCAGGGACTAAAGTGTAAATATTCAAAAATTATGTCGGGGCTTACGATGAAGGTTCGAGAGTGCTAAGGATCGATTGCAAGCAATTAGAAGTAAAAAAGGAATTGAATATTATCAAAATCAATTTCCAATTCGCACAAGATATATTTCTAACGCATTTTGAATTGTCTAAATCGGATATTAGAAGAGAAAGTTATAATCAAATTACTGACTGCTGTACAGAGACAAAAAATCCGCGCGCGAAAGGAACTTTCTTTATTCGATTAGAGCTCTTTTGGAAACCAATTTGGACGTGATTTTCATCCAATTTTCGACTCTTACAAATACTTAACAGCAGAATACATATGGAGAAGACCCCCCATACACCATTCTTCTCTTCTTTGGCTCAAGAAACACATGAGGAACTAAAGATTTTGGTGAAGTTACGAAGAAACTCGATTGGAATTGGTGATTTCATATCTTTTATTCATTTAATTTGATATTTTCATTGTCAAACAATACTAGAATTTAGATTTTCATTCTCTTGAATTTATATTGAAATCGGTTTAATATTAACAAGATTTTTCATGGATTCAGTCATACTTTTTCCACCATTCAATCAAATTATTTATTGAGTTTCAATTTCAATTATTTATTGTTGAAATTGATTTAACAATTATTATATCCTTCATAGATCGAGTCATGCTTCTTCTATCGTTAGATTAAATTAGTTGTTGAATTTTAATCTCAATTTCACTTTATTGACGGATTGATTACTGCTTTATGCTTGATATATGTGGTCGATCTTTAATCTTGTTCCAATAAAATTGTGCGAATATGTTTTAAATCTAAATTCTAGGATTACATTTGTAAATTAAATTGATTTTCACGATATATCTTCCGATTAGAGTGTCGGGATGAAAGCCTCTAATTGTGTTATAAAAATGAATAATTGATATGATTGATCCAATCCAATTGAGGGAATTCCGACGCTTCACCGCTTCGAATTATTGATTTTAATTTCACGTTTTAACATTGAATTTTATTACACATTTGAGAGAAAAATTCAACATTTTTGATCCTTTAAATATTTTTCCATCTCCCTATGGATACGACACTCCAAAACTGTGCTACAACTATCGCGTTATTCTTTGGGCGTAATTAGCCAACAACTGAAGTCTTAAACCTCTACAAGGTATTTCGACAACATTTTAGCTTCGTACCATCACTATTTTGTAAATGTCTTGTGAGTTTTGTAACGACCAAGCACCTATACTCAAGTCATTAACTTATGTGTTGTCATCTCTAGGAGAGCTTAGCCTATCTTATCCTTCACGGCTTTCTGTCGCGTTTGAATCGAGTGAACGCGACAGAAAGCCGTGAAGGTAAGATGTGTTAGGCTCTCTCAGAATGAATATTACTTAAGTTAACAATTTGGACATAAATGATGGGTCGTTAGAATTTTGATATAGAATCATTTCATATATTTCATGTATATGAACTTTTTTAATAAAATAGATCCTTTTGTCTTGGGTAGTGTGTGTCTATACATGTACACATGCACGCATGCACACCATTCAGTTTTAGGTTTCTTTCTTTTCTCCACCAAGTTAAGGTATTAAATGTATACAAAAATATTTTTTGGTAATCATTTCTTATAAGTTAAGTTGAAGTCACCATTTATAGAAACTCTCCATATCTGTGGTTTTTATTCTAGTTTTTGACGAACAATTGTATATTTTGTTAGTTATTATATATTAATATATCTATGCTTAATCGTATTTTATGTGATTTTCCACACCTGGATTTTCCAATTTCCAAGATTATTTAAATAATTTAAGTAGTTATGTCAGGTTGAAAGTAAAGACCTTAGCTTAACATAATATTTGTTTTCTATTTTTTCCTTTTGTCTTTTCTTGTTCTCTAGTTCTGCAAGTTCAACTTCACGAAGTTGCATTGCATTGAGTCAGTTCCTTTGCATGGTTAGACGGTCATGGATGGATGATACATTAATTTTCAACTGATTATGTAATTTCTTTGAAAAATTTCTATAATCTGCACTCTTTATATTCTTACAGAACACCTTTAGGCTTTAACCAATATTGAATAGACTCGTGTAATGGCCAATCAGTTTTACTTAAATCTTCAGTCAATCTAGCTTGATTTTAGTTGGCCTGGTGTGTAGTGACAAATAATTTTTTCTTTTACTATTTAGCAGCAAAAAGAATTTTCTTTCGTCTAATCTTGGGTATGGTTATAAAATTCCCTGGGTTCGAGTCTCATTTGAAAGAAAGGGTGAAATTGTTAAAAAAAAAAAAAGATCCCTCACACTAAACTCGTATTATTGTTGTTAAACAATTGCCTTGGTGCGGTAACTTTAAGAAGTATCGGTATTGTACCCAAAAATAAAATATAAAGCTGCACAACTACAGTTGGATGAATATTATTAGTAATTTTATTTCTTTTCAAATCATTCTTTAAGCAAAACATGATGCCTTTTTATTTCTTTTCATCGTTCATTTTGCCATCTGATAGTTTGATTTCCAGGTATTGTGTAATAATCTGAATGTTTGGCTTCTCTGATCTTCATCAGGCCCCATTAAATGTAGAAGGTTGGGATGAAGCATTTCATGAAATAGGGAAACTACTATACGAGACTGTCCTCACTCCGCAAAATGCAGAGTTATTGCTGAAAGCAGTTGAACAGTTGCCATGTCCTTGTCCCTCTAAAATCTGTTCAATCTATAGCTTCCAAACTAGTAAATACAGTATGTCCCATTCTTTCACACTCTTGAATATGTATATATATAGTTTGGTTCTTTAATAGTTTCATGTAGTAGCTGGTGGCATCCAACTTTATTTTTATTTATTTGAATTTTCTAGATTTATCGTCCAAGTATTGAATGATATACTGTCGTGCAGAGACTACTTGCAATATCTGGTTGTGCCCATCTTCCACATGAGGACTGCCCCAAGGCACTGCTTGCAGCGATGTCCTCCTTCATTAGCAGGCTTTTTTTCAAAACCAGAAATTCAGAATCACTGGGCGCCATACTCGAATCCTCATATTCAAGTTCATTCTTTTTCTCCTTTAGTTTATCTCAAGAGGAAGAGTCTTCCGGGTATTTTTGATGTGTTAATTTCAGTCACCACCCACCACCCCACCTGGGTTTTAGTCCTTTCTCAAGTGTAATTTTTTCCTCTCCCTTTTCTTGTTCCATTTCCCCAATTTCTAATTATTTTTTGCCACTTTCTGCCACTCGCGTGGACATGACATGGTTAGATAAATGGATGATTATGTAGATTGATTAACAAACGATGTAAAAATTTATCGTATATCAGCATGACCAAAAATTATGTCATATTATTAAATGTCAACATTATGATGAATAATCTTGCAACTATGTTGTCGTACATGTAGTGATTGTAGCGCAGAGTTCACTATGATGAATAATCTTGCAACTATGTTATCGTACATGTAGTGATTGTGGCGTAGAGTTCACTCGTAGATTCATTATTCAAATAACAAAAATTCTAGTAACTATAAAAGGGATTTTCAAGGACTATAAGAAAAGCCAACAATCTTCGTACCAGTTGTTTGCAACATAAATCTTTTCAAGATTCTGCCAAACTTTAGTTCTCTGTCAATAAACAAGATAAAGTTTTGAGATTGATTAGATGAATTATTAATTTTTTACAAGAATATCATTTCACTAAAAAATTTAAGTAAATTGTTTTTGAAGACTTTGTACAAGGAATTACACTATATTTTTTTAATTTAGAAAATTGCAGCTAGTGCTAACAGCATATACTTTATCTTTAATTAAATTAAGTAGGAAAATTAGAGTATATTAACAGAGTATCTTTAGTAACGTTGATTCTCCTTTTGTTGTATTTGGAACCAGTGGAGTTGACATACAAAAGTGACTTCCTAAAAGGAGGGGCGAAATGACATAAAAAAAAAAAGTTTTCTTAATCAAAATGTAAGATACTCTTAGCATATTTTATTATTTTGTCGGCCAATCCCTTTCATTGTAAAAAAAAAAAAAAAAAAGTAATTTTTTTTTATTTATAAACTTTTTATTCTTATGCTTAGCTCGACGTCACGACGATATATTTTATATCTGTACACTCGAGAAATAAGATAAGAAGTTATTCATAAATAAGTTTGGCTCTCATATAATCTTAAATAAGTGTACCTTAAGTGGTCAGTATGTAATTTTATTTTATTTTTTTTAAAATAAGACAAACGAAACACATTACACGCATTTTTGGCTTTTGCACATCATTGCACAATTGAAAGTTGGTCTAACACATAATCCCATAATCCATTTTTAAAAGGAAATTAGTTTCAAATTCTTCATCATTAAGACCTTATTAAATGTTAATTACTTTACCAAGTCCATGATAAGAATGATTGTTGAATAAAATATGGGCCCAGCTGACGACAAAACAAAGAGATTGAATGGGCCGAAAGATCCATCCTTCACGGGCCACCAATTGTCTTTCCGAGTCACTTGCACCTCCTTTATGTCAATTGTTTTACTCGAAGTTCTACAGGACATAAGGGATGACAAAGCCTGAAGTCAAGTCTCAAACTTTGTAGCGTAATAAAATATATTTTTTATTTTTTATATTATT